TAGCCAGGATTGTCATGTAATCTGAGAAAAAACCCTAAAATTCCGATGGAAGAGTACAGGCCTAAAAACAGCAGACATATTTTCAGGGGGACTTGCACTACATCCAGATGACAAGATGCAATCTAACAAAATTATAGAAATTAAAATAGTAGATTAATAAAAATTGGCAGAATTATTCTAACTCTCCCTTGGCAGTGGAGCAGATAAACTCTCATTCATACAATGAAATAATAAACAACAGCTAAAATGAATAAATCTGAGTTACATGTATCAACTTGTATACTTTAAAAAAAATACACAGTGTTAAGTTAAAAAGCAAGTTGCAAAAGAATTTGTAAACTAGGATATATTTATATGTAATTTAGAAAACTAGGATATATTTATATGTAATTTAGAAACAGAATAATTGATATATCCTTTCTTTAAAGATTTTATTTATTTATTTGACAGAGAGAGAGACAGCGAGAGAGGGAACTCAAGCAGGGGGAGGGGGAGAGGGAGAAGCAGGCCTCCCGCCAAGCAGGGAGCCCGAAGCAGGGCTCGATCCCAGGACCCAGGGATCATGACCTGAGCCAAAGGCAGACTGAGCCACCCAGGTGCCCCTATTAAGTGGGCTCCATGCTGGTGGAGCCCCTAGGGGGCTTGAACTCACAACCCTAAGATCGAGAGTCCAATGCTTACCAACTGAGCCATCCAGGTGCCCCAGTTTTATGTTTTAGAGAGAGCGCTCTTAAGTAAAAGTGGCAAAATATCAAGATATATTTGATCCAGATGCATAGCTGTCTCTGTATTCTTTTCTGATTTTTATAAGAGAGATAACATTGAGTGGTAGATGAAAGACTAGCTAGGTTTGAATCCTGGCTCCACTGCCTACTAGCCATGTAGCCTTGGGAATGCTTCACTCTACCTCTCTGCACCTCAGTTCCCTCATATATAAAATGGAATGAGAATAAGACCTACCTTGGGGGTTAATGATGTAAGTGCTTGGAACTGTGCCTGCTTCATGTGGAACATACGTCAAGTGGTGTGCTAAGTGAATATACCTACTATTTTTAAAATTACACTTTTTAAACATTATACTTTTAAAAGAATGTTCATTTTTCATTGCAGGGAATTGTAAAAATGTGTCAACTATCATTAACCCCTGTTGATTTTACCCACCTGAGCCCATTTTCTTTTTGGGATCCCAGAGCCCCCTTCCCAGTGAGGAGCTTTGTCCGTGTGGATCAGGTGAGGCTGAGACAGTCTCTCCTGCCAAAAGCGGGGAAAAGGTGCAAGAAGGACCAGTTGAATCATCCCTTAGATTAAATACATAGCATGTGGGAGTTAAGGGGTTTTGTTTGTTTTTTTCAGTTTGTGGGTGATTTACATAACTGCAAATTATGTACTTGGAATTACTAGCAGCTGCTCTACCAGGTAGAGGGAGCCTTTTCAGAAATGAAGCCAAGAACAGGCAGGAGATGGATGGAGAGAGAGAGACAGACTTAGAACTCTTAGATCCAATCATGTCTGACATCCTCTTTACCTTCTTGGATTTTCCAAGTTTATCAAACAATATACAGTTGATCATCACTGTTCACAGATTCTTTATTTGCAAATTTGCCTCCTTGCTAAAAATTATTTGTAATACCCAAATCAATAATTCACATGTACATGTGCAAAATGGTAAAAACAAAAAATTGAGTTGACTGATACGGGTGTTCCCAGCTGAGGTCAAGCAAGGGACACACTCTGCTTTCTGATTTCAGCTCTCAAATTGTAAATAAGTGTCCTTGTCAAGATCTATTTAGTACCATGGGCTTTTTGTTTCATTTTTTTTGTTGTTTTTTAATTCAACATACAGTATTAGCATATAGTGTTACATTAGTTTCAGGTGTACAATATAGATTGAACAATTCTATACATTTCTCAGTGCTAATCAAGATAAGTGTACTCTTAATCCCCTTCATCTATTTCACCCCTCCCCCCGACCCCACTCTGACAACCACCAGTTTGTTCTCTGTATTTAGAGTCTATTTTTTTGTCTCTTTTTTTTGTTAGTTTGTTTTGTTTCTTAAATTCCACTTATGAGTGAAATCATATGGTATTTGTCCTTCTCTGATTCATTTATTTCACTTAACATTAGACCCTCAGATCCATCCATGTTTTTGCAAATGGTGGTATCTCATTCTTTTTTATGATTGAGTAGTATTCCATTGTATATATACATCTTTTTTTCAAGATTTTTTACAACTTTATTTATTTGACAGAGAGAGAGAGAGAGACAGTGAGAGAGGGAACACAAGCAGGGGGAGTGGGAGGCAGAGGGAGAAGCAGACTCCCCACTGAGTAGGGAGCCTGATGTGGGACTGGATCCCAGGACCCTGGGATCATGACCTGAGCAGAAGGCAGACGTTTAACAACTGAGCCACTCAGGTGCCCAGGGATGCATATATCTTTTCAAATTAGTGTTTTTGTTTTCTTTAGGTAAGTACCCAGTAGTGGAATTATTGGATCATATGGTAATTTTGTTTTTAACTTTTTGTGAAACCTCCATACTGTTTTCCACAGTGGCTACTCCAGCTTACATTCCCACCAACAGTGCACTAGGGTTCCTTTTTCTCCATAACAAATAACCAACATTTGTTATTTCTCGTGCTTTTTTAATTTTAGCCATTCTGATAGGTGTAAGGTGATAGCTCATTATGATTTTGATTTGCATTTCCCTGATGATAAGTGATGTTGAGAATTTTTTCATGTGTTTGTTGGCTATCCATATATTGTCTTTGGAAAAATATCTATTCAGGTCCTCTGGTTTTTAATTGGATGGATTATTTATTTATTTATTTATTTATTTATTTAGGTGTTGAGTTGTATAAGTTCTTTATATATTTTGGATATTAATTCCTTATCAGAGATATCATTTGCAAATATCTTATTTGGTAGGTTGCCTTTTTGTTTTGTTGGTTTTCTTCACTGTGCAAAAGTTCTTTATTTTGGTGTAGTTCCCATAGTTTAATTTTGCTTTTGCTTCCTCTTCCTTAGGAGACATATCTAGAAAAACGTTTCTACAGCTGGTATCAGTGAAATTACTGCCTATGTTTTCTTCTAGGAATTTTATGGTTTCAGGTCTCACAGTTAGGTCTTTAATCCATTTGAGTTTATTTTTGTGTAAGGTGTAAGAAAGTTGTCCAGTTCCATTCTTTTACATGTAGCTGTCCAGTTTGCCTAACACCATTTGTTGAAGAGACTCTCTTTTTCCCATTGCATATTCTTGCCTCCTTTGTCATAGATTAATTGACTATAAAAGTGTGGGTTTATTTCTGGACTCTCTATTCTGTTCCATATGTCTATTTTTGTGCCAGTGGTACCATGTTTTTCCCATTTTTGTGCTTTTTGTGGGTGATTTCACTGTTTAAAATGGCCCACAAGGGTAGTGCTGAAGTTTGGGGTAGTGTCCCTAAGTTCAAGAAGGTTGTGATGTGCTTTATGGAGAAAATACATATTTTTGTAGTTTTTAGGCATCTGTTATAGTGCTGTTGGCTGTGAGTTCTATGTCAGTGAATCAACAATATACATTAAGTAAAGTGTCTTTATTTTTATTTTATTTATTTGAGAGAGAGAGAGAGTACAAGAGAGAGCAGAGGGTACAAGCAGGGGGCAGGGGAGAGGGGCAGAAGGAGAGGGAGAAGCAGACTTCCCACTGAGCAGGAAGCCCAATGCAGGGCTCGATCCCAGGACCCTGAGATCATCACCTGAGCCAAAGGCAAACGCCTAACTGACAGAGCCACCCAGGTGTCCCAGTAAAATGTCTTTAAACAGAAACACACATAAAACAAGAAAATATATTGGTTGGTTAATGAAAACGTTGTGATCAGAACTCCTGGAATCTAAAGGCTTATCCCTAAGAGCAATAGTTCAGTAATCACTAATTTAGTGTTTGTGGCAACTTTAGAGAGTACAGAACATCACTACTATGAATGACAAGAATTGACTGTATTCCCTTTTTGCCCAAGTTAAAGTTGGAAGAAGAAGCATGTAAGCTAGTATGAGGCTGAGGGAAAGGGTAGTGCAGGAATTTAAGGAAGATAAAATATAGACAGTGGATATTCCTGGTGTCTACCCGTGATCCATTTGCCAAGCTTCCTTTCTCATTGATCTCCAATTTTGTCCTGGTACTGGTCCTTATCCTACACGGCCTTTGTGACTTGGAGAAAGCTGACTCCATCCTTGGCTCACAAAGTAAGGACTGGTTAAAATAAGCTAATCATGGTAATCCTGTCCCTGGCCAGCGAACAGTTTAGAAATGGCAATGTACCAATGGTAACAAATGAAAAAAAACTTTTTTTAAAGAAAAAGGTGGAATTTAATCTTTATTTACAGGACACTGCAAGATAGGAGATTCCACCTAGAAATAAGAAACCGACTGAGAGGTAAGATTCATACAGGTTGTACAGTTTGGAACTGGTCAAGCGTAGTTTCATTATAAAAAGTGCTACAATAGCAAAACACATTTAAAAAGAGTTCTTAGTAGAGAAACAATAAGACAAACTTCTACCAAACACAACAAACAACTTTCTGCCTCATCTGTACAATCTAAAATGTAGAGGTCTCAGAAGTACCAGCCTGAACTTGTAACATATAGCCTTCAGAGGTAGTTTCTAACACAACATGCTTATCTTCCCCTTCCTCTACAGAGAAATACTTCTCAACCAAGTTTAATGAAGCTTTGTATACAGACTCATTCCATGGTTTTGTAGAGCTTCAATTTTGCCCAAACCTCCACATTCTTCTATCATTATACTAAATTTCTCAGTTTCACCTAGTTTCTCAGCAGCCTGAAAGATGTTTCAAATGACATCCAAAATAACCAGAATAATTTTGGTATCTTTTGAAGTGAAGAGGTTCATCAATGGTTCTATTATGCTACAATGAACGAGGCATACAATCTGTTCAACTGTCCCACCACACGTATAGTTGGTCACAGCCCATACTGCTTCCTTTTGTGTCTTAAAGTCTACCTTCGAACACCAACAAGGAATGGGACTAATCCATGATTCACAACTTGCTGTATCTGGTCCTGGTGACCAGCTGTGATGTTTGACATTGTCCACATAGCTTCCTTCTGAATATTAGTTTTGGGGTTTGTTAGCAGGCTGGGAAAGACAGCAAGTGCTCCTGCATCTATTACAACCTGAGTCTGTTCATCTGTCCCAGTGACGATATTTCCCATGGCTCTTAGTGCAAGAGTCACAATGGGCAATTCAGTCAAAGCTTCACAAGTTGGGGCACAACTCCTGTTTTCACAACCATTTCAATCCATTCATTTGGACCATCAGTAAGGTAGGAAGTGGCCCAGCAGGGGTCTGCTAATATTTCTGGATCATCATGATGCAAGAGATGAACTAAGTTTGGAAGAATCTGCTCAACAGCATCTAATGGCGATGCAGGATTCTTGTTGCAACAAAGGTTTGAAAGGGTCCAAGTAAGGTTACGGAAATAACCACATGCTAAAGATGACATAACAGGAACTGTGCAAGGAGAGCCAACAGCAGGTCAACTGTACCATACTTGATAACCAAGTCTTGAAAAACTGAACCATCACCTGCACTATTTCCTAGAGCCTATACATCTTCTTCACTGATGTGGGCATGAGAAGATACCAAGAGAGAAATGAATGCTGGGATAGCACCTCCATCTACCATAGTCTTGGTCTGTTCTGATGTCCCAGAAGCAATGATAGTGAGGGCCCAAGCAGATTCAAACTGAATGGGACTACAATCGGTTCTGCCCAAGAAGGACACAAATTTTGGCATCAAACCAGCCCGGATTATGTTGTCTATGGGGGGCTGTTTTTCCCTAGAAAGGAGTTTCCTAGCAGATTGAGTAGCCTGGAGCTGGCTTTCCAAATTGTTGCTATTTATGCCTTTGACAATGTCATCAACAGACCAATTTACAGTGCCCTGGTTGTTGCGGTTTCCTGCGGTAGAAAATTAGTCTCATCAGGAAATGAGCTTACATTTTCCCTTTTCAGCATCTGGTCATCCTTCTTAGCTTTCTTTAGCTCCACCTTAACTTTTGTTCGGCGCTGCCTCATTTCTGTACTGTCTTTCCCCTTGTTCTTGCATCTGTTACAGTGAGCAGCTAGTGAATTAACATTCTCATTGGTGGACATGGTTATGAGACAAAGGGAGAAAGCTGCATGGCCCGTTCAGGCTTCCACAGGAGGTGGTGCGTGGTACGCAGGCTGCAGGTCAGCTGCCCTCAAAACGAACGTCCACCACAGATCAGCCCAAAGATGGTGTGTGACAAATGAAATTTGAATTTTTGAAGCTTTTAGGAAACTTCTTCCTTCGAGTGATACTGATAGAAAGTCATTCTTACTCATCTATATCGAATGCAGGCAAAGAAGCCTGTTGGCAACCATGATTTAAGAGAAGTTAGTCTGAGAACAGAACCTAAAAATTGGAGGCGGATGGAGCTGAGACAACTACAAGAAAATAGGGTAAGAGCCTTGATCATATTGTTCCTGAAGCCTGAATATGTCTAGATTTCTGGTTATGTGAGCCAACTTCGCTGTTTAAGCTTTGGAGTTGGTTTTCTGTTATTTGGAGTAGAAAGTCTCTTAACTGAAACAGTAGATATCCAGGTATAGTCCCCTGAACAATATATCTAAGATGGAGTCAACTGAACGGAGAGGACTGGGAGTCTTGGTGAGCAAATCATAACCAGAAAGTCTATTTTAGTGTTAACACGTTGTGTTTATTTGTTGTTATTTCTTAGCTTTAGTAAAGTCTTGTGTAAGCCATGTGTTAATTGGAGTTCTCTTGCCCATGAGATTATCCTGAGAGTGTCTTGAACCCATTATTCCAGGATCTGTAGAAATACAAAGCACTCCTCTAAATTTCTTTCTAGAAATTCTAGGTGTATTCAGGTTCATATGTCTACCACAAGCAATGGTTCAGTTTATGGCTCATCTTACTCTCTAGCGTTATGTTGAGCTGTATGCTGTCTGTTAAACATCATACCAACTTCTATGTGAAACACAACTCTTTTATTTGAAATACACATAAACACATACATGAAATTATTAGTAACCTTGTTTGAATATTTTGGGGGGATGGATATGGGGCTTACATTGTAAAATTGCAAACAATTTCAAGGACTCTTAAACACTCTTATTCTTAAAGAGGTGTGTAAAGTAAGGTATTTTTTTCCCTGCGCATTTATCCCCAGTTCACGTCATCCTTTCCTTTCTTTCCTCGACTCCCCTACATTCAAAGAGTATGTCAAGAATTCCAATTTCCTCTGCCTCTACATGCAGAACAATCCAACTTTTCAATCCCAAATTTTGCTCTAGGCTCACTTTGCATATCCAAACCTATCTAGGTATCCAGCAGACCAAAAGGGACTTTCTTATAACAGAATTCACCCTCTTTCGAACAGAATTGTCCTTATTATTTAGCAATTTTAAACATTCCTGTTTAAACATTCTGACCTTCTTGTCTACACTAAGAAATATTAAGGATCTGTTAATTATATTTAAGTCAGTGTGTTCATGGGTAGTAATTGACAAAAGACCCCCAACTCTAGCTGCTCTTGTGCATGTGGATATTATTCTTTTAATTCTGTTGTTAGGTCTGGATTTTATTGTGATTAAGTTAGATGGCATTTCCTTATAGTACAGATGCCAGTTATATGAAATTCTTGCCTGTAGCCAAACATTCCAACGCACTCACTTAAGCTTTTATCATTTATAAGAAGAATTTTTTTTGGCCATTTACCTATAAGGAATTTGCCTCTTTTTTTTTTTAACATTATTATTTACCTCAAGAATAATACCAGTATTATTCCTGGCAATTCAAGTTGGGGCTCAGTAAGAAACCAACTCTTAGTGTGTTAAGGAAAAGAGGAAAAGGAATTTATTATAAGGATCCAGAGAATTAAAAACAAAAAAGAACTTAACCTATTCTTTGGAAGGAGAGAAACTAGAGCAACTTTGGAGGTCTGGAGACCTCAGAGGTGGGAACTCACTGACAGAATTTTAGAGGGGACAACTTGGGACAGCTAGGGACAACCGGACTTGGGACAACTAGGCTCTAATTGCCTTCCATCTGTGTTTGTCTCTGCTAGAGGTTTTATTTTATATACTTTTTAAATTGAAGTATGACATATATAAATACACAGATCCTAAGTATACACCTCAATGAATCTTTACCAAGTGAACATGTAACTAACACACAGATCAAAATACAGGGCATTATCAGTGTTCTAGAAATCTCCCTCATACCGTCCCCCCAATTATTATCCCTCAAAGCTTTCCACTATGCTGATTTTATCACACAAATTTGTTGTGCCTATTTTTGGACTTTATTTAAATGGAATCATTTACTGTCTAGTTTCTTTTGCTCAAGATTATGCCTATGAGCATACTGTATCCTTCTTCTTCCATATAATGGTAAGTAGCTTGTCCTGATTATTATACAGTACTCCAGTGAACTATATTCCTGATGGACATTTGATTGTTTCCAATTTGGAGACATTGTAAATAAAGCTACAAATGAATGTTTTTACACATGTCTTTGGGTTCACACATGTTTTTGGGTTCACACGTTTTCATTCTCTGAGAGTGGAACTGCTGGGTGATAAAGTAAGCATATATTCAGATTTAGTAAATATTGCCAGCTTTCCAAAGAGGCTGAGCCAATTTACATTCCCACCAGTAGAGGAGAAGAGTTGTAATTGTTCCACATCTTGCCAACACTTGGTTGTGTGTTTAATAATTATTACCCTTTCTGGTGAGTGAATAGTGTTGTCTCATTGTGTGCATTTCCTTGATGACTAATGATGTTGTGCACCTTCTTTTCATATGCTCTCTGAATACTTACTTAAATATCCTTTTTTTAACAGAGTTTTTTTTTTAAAGATTTATTTATTTATTTTAGAGAGAGCATGAGTGGGGGCAGGGGCAGATGGAGAGAGAATCCTCAAGTGGGTTCAATCCCAGGATCCTGAGATCATGACCTGAGCCAAAATCAAGAGTTGGCTGCTTAACCAACTGAGCCAGCCAGGCGTCCCTAGATATCCTTCATTGTGAAGTGCCTGTTGAAGTATTGTAAATACTTTGTGAAGTATTTAAGTATTTTATCAGGTTGTCTGTCTTTTTAAATTTTTGGTTTTTTTAAGTCGTTTATTAGATTCTATATCTAAAATTTAAATTCCCAGGAGAGAGTTTGGTTGGCCTAGCCTGGACCACATTCTCATCCCTGTATGGAATGTGGGAACTTGTGATTGGCAGTCTTTCAGAATTATATAAAGTGGGAGTAATGGAAGTTTTCCAAAGGAAGATCCAGTGGAAAGCAAATGATATATACTTTACAATAGTTTTCATTTAAATACTCCTCTTTTGGGACGCCTGGGTGCCTCAGTCCTAGGCCTCCGACTCTCGATTTTGGCTCACGTTATGATCTCAGGGTCGTGAGATTGAGCCCCGGGTGGGACTCTGCGCTGGGTATGGAGCCTGCTTGGGACTCTTTCTCTTCCTCTCCTCCCCAACCCCCCGCACCCCTGCCCCTGCCCTCTAAATAAATAAATAAATAAATAAATAAATAAATACTCCTCTCTTGCTTCCTTCTTTTTAAGTGGCATTGTCCTAGGGCTATAATGAAGCAGCATTTTGGTTCCTCGTTTCAATAAGAATTTTAAGCTATCCTAAAAGCCCTCTGTTTTTTAGTAATTCTAAAATTATTTTCTTGCAATATTATCATCAAATAAAAATCAGGAGTAATTTTGGTTAAATGCTTTATCTTTTTCTCCTTACACCAAATCTTATCTAATATTTTTATACTTCTTATTAAAACCTTATATTAACATGGCACTACATAGTTAATATTTTCTATTCACTATCTCAATTTATCATGTTTTAACTAATTCTTTATAATATAAAAAGTAAATTAAAATTTCTTCTTTAAAAAAATTAATATATTATAGACAAGGCTAAAGCCCCGTTGACCAAATCGCCAAATCCCAGTACCCTCCCCTCCATGCCTGAAGTAACCACTGATATGTTTGATGTGTAAAACTAACTGGACAGTAAACAGTATACATTTTTCCACAACTTGCTTTTTTTTCGTCTTCAATATTTTGTCTTATAATCCATAGTTTTGCCTACATTTATACTTATGGAAATATAGAGTATCAATATACCAAAATTTGCTTAAACTAGTCTTCTAGCGATATTAATGTGTTAAATTTCTCATTATTTCCTATGAATTTTTCACATAAAAAGGGGATATATTTCTATACATAAGATTGATCCAAAAAGCTCAATGTGGAACATAGGGATAAAAAGACCATTACTTTTATAGTCACTATTTTTGTATTAATTACACAATAAACAGTTTTTGTCCTTCAAAACAGTGTCCATCATTTAACACCTGGTGTTAAATGCAATCAGGGACATGCCCGCCTCTTCTAAAATTCTGTTATTTTATAAGTATTTCCAATTCGAGATGCCAAGTGTTTTTTTGTACTTTCACTGTATTCTAGACAGCTATAGTGTTTTAATCTCAAAAACATCTTCTTAGAAGAAGTGACTTTATTTTTGGTCTCAAGCATGAGGCAAGAGAAGGAGGAAGAATTGAAATGCAATAAATTTATTTAGCAAATTGCTTGCAAATTATTTACCTGTACTTGAGTCTCTTCAACCAAAACCTAAACAAGTCTGTGAAGGTAGATAAGACCTTTAACTTGATTTACAATTGGTTTTCTGCAAAACCCTCAAGGCATTTCACTTATCATCCCTTAATAAAAAATACTGGGATTTTAATCTATATTTGGTAAGAAAATTTGAAGACAGTTTATTCAATGGTGTAGACATATGAGGCCATCAGTGTAACTTAGAAGTGACTTCTTTGTCTCAGAAATGTGGCATTTAAATAAAGAAGACAAAATTACATATGTACACATGCACACACACACAAACACACACTACATTATTGATAGGATAATTTTCACTTTTTAAATAAAATATTGTGCTTCTAGTTGCTTGCCAACTTGTCTTCTTGGTCTTTTATAGAGGTAATGTTATTTTTATTCACACATTTGAATAATTTCAAATAAGAGCATAGAAATTCTCATTTGTAATACTTTTACTCTACATATCATAAATAAAAT